TATGCTCCACCCCCTTCCAAAGGCCATCTACAAGGGCCACTTTGTTGGCTGGCAAAGAAAGGCCTGATGACTCAAACAGGGTAGGTGGGAAACTGCATAGCTCATAAGTGAAGAGACGCTTTTGATCATCATCTGAACGTTCTCTAATGATGGCTTCCATTCTCTGGAACGTGAGTGTTGGATCAACCTCAGAATAATAGATTCCGATTCATTGTTGATGGACTTTTTACATATACCACAGCTCTCCATTGTAAATCCAAAGAGCAAGTGATCTAAGTATAAAAATCGAGTATGACATTGCTATTTCAAACAAACATAACACCAAATGCACAAAAGGCCTATACATTTATTCATAAATAAAATAATAAAATAATGCACTTCAATAAATTCGGGTACAAGCACACTGGATGAAGTATGCTTTCTGAGTTTTCAACTTAAACTGTAATATATCAACCGTGTTAAGTGTCGGTGTAATTCAGATTGTATTGTCAGCAGTTTGTGTGGGAAAAAAGTATGTGCTTTCCCCATTCTTGTTACCTACTTAAAAGTCACAAATTTTGATTGATGTGACATCCTGTGACTTCACTTTACATGTACAGTATACCGCCAGATAGTGTTGAACATGTTACCAATTAAGAATCCTCACCTGCAATTAACCAGTAGGAAAAAAGAAAATGTGGGATTAGCAGGGACTCTGTGGAGCTAATATCTGCTCACTGATATCAGTGATCTTGTCTGCGATATGAAAGGAAGAACACAAATACACAAAATGTGACATTCGGACTTTCTTAGTTAAATTTTTTTGCATTAGTTTGACCAAGACTACTGTGGATTTTTGCAACTAAGCTTAATCAGCTTCTCTCAATTTAATTTATTTCCCAATAAATGCATGTAGGTATAAGCGACCATGCTTATTGGACGTTGAAATTGGTCCATTGTAAAAATTTCAAAAAAATCAAGTGCGTATTTAGTTCATAGCCAGTCACAAATTCTCACCTGCAATTCACTCTTGTTGAAATAATATCACATTAAGTGGGATTGGGGAGGGGATTAGCTATTTTTTTCCATTTTCTTGTCTGTATTCTGTTATCTATAGAATGTAAATGTATGATATTATTACAATATATTTGTATTTAGGGGACAGAACCTACTGGTAGTGTTAAAAAGCATGGAAATTCCACACTTTTTTTTCAAAATGGCGGCCATGTTGAACTCATGCAAATTAAGGATGACAAAAAATTCTGAATTTATCAATTGTATGTTATTAAGTGTTCGTAGATCCCCAAACCTGGGCGTAGATATAACAATTATCCCGTTAAAGACACACATTTCAATTTATGCTCCAAAAAACTGCAAAATGGCGGCCATTTTGAATTTATGGAAANTTAAATATATTTCCGCAACTCGGATTTGCTCGGACTTTTTCTGGTCATTCTACATACCTCAAAGAAATGTACTGTGAAGAAACACCTTTGCTAGCAATTAGTTCCAGGTTACCCACCAAAATACCATTATCTTTCCTGGACTACAGGGCTTGCACGCATGTGAACAAGAGCGGTGGACTGACATACGTACGTACGTACACAGTACGCTGGCTCTGTTTTCATAGCTTGCTCTGCATGTGGTATGCCGTATACCTGCAATACTCTTTGGCGGTAAATAGACCTGCAAGTTGACCCCTGATTGCGCACTTCCGGAACCTTTGGATAGGACAAATAACGTGCAAAGATTTTAGAATTTGTAATATTTTTTTCGTTCAGTTTCTTCTTAAACAATCCAACTTGGAAAAAGGGCTTTGAAATATATTGGCTAATATATCAGTTTATAGAAACTGAAAAGTTACCTAATCTAAAAGAGAAATATCCTTCCAAAAATTGACCCATAACTTCCAAAAATCTAAAACTCATGAACAACAGTGCAATGCCCCAGTCTCATACGCAGATGAACATTTATGATTTGAAATTTAATGATAGTCTGTCGGTAAAAGCCGAAATAAAAACAGATCAAAACATTTTACACAGTTTTATAATTTATAAGGTAACAAATTTAAAGCAATATTCTACTTTTACGAAAGATTCTAAAATTTTATATAACCTTTGCTGACAATTGCGTGATGTCAACTCAACAGAATCTGAAAATAAACCTGCGCCATATGTCGCAGAACAACTGAGATAACGGAAAGCGTAACACCACTTCAGCGGCGTAATCAATTGCATTTAATGTGTCACTATCATTCGATTGACCACACTATAATATCTGCACGCGCAAGGTAATTTTGTCGGTCGTTCATCTATTCTGAAAACGTCTTGTGGATGCAGTTTTCCTGGGAACCTCATTTTGGTCTTGACACGTTCCCCTTCTTTAGCCGATTTATAACTTTTCACAGAAAAAAGGCATGCCCACGTTGATTATGGAGATATTTGGCAGCGCAGTTTTGCACGTCCTGGGAATTAAAAATTAAGAGATGGAAGAGATGGCAGAGTGGTGCCCTGACTGCCGAGATTATCCAATTAATATCTAATTGAATTGAAGGTCGAATATCAAAAAAATAGCTTATTCAATGGATATCATGCGCCCTCAGTTCCGATCTGTAAATCCAGGATTATGTATACATGTACTTCCCCTTTGTTGTGCCGAAGCAAGCCTAATATCTCATTCAGCGATTCTCTCATTTATATTCATTTGGCGGCTCTTCTGATGGAAGAAGTGTTTTTGTAACAACCCTTGTCATTATTGGAATTCGTTAGAGGCGAAATTGAAGCTACTTTTCTTCCCCTGTGGTAATCATGACTCACCTGTTCTTTTTTGCGCAAACAATATGCGGAAATCCGGACCTAATTCAAGAGTGCTCTTGTGACAACATTTTTAGCACTTGAAAGCTCCGCGGACGCTATCCCCATCTTGCCTTCTGTAGAAACAGCATACGGTATGAAATTGCGCATGGTAAGACAGCCTTCTTCGGGGCCCGCAGCGCGCGTGAGATGCACACTTTGAGGGAGAAGCTGGCTCGAATTTCCCCCTTCCCACAAACACTCAACATGGCATAGAAACCGCGGTCCGCTGTGACGCGGTGGATTGAACTCCGCAACCCGATATTACCCCTTTACCGAATATTTCCTCGAAGAAACAGCCCCGTGCCGACCCGAGGGGCGATCTCTTGTCTGTTGCCGCTACATTTTCATCCGAATTTGTATTAGGGCTGTGAAATACGAGACCTCGGGTACTGTAAATAACACTGTTCAGGGACAAAGAAAAACATTTATGTAACTCGGTCCTCAAAGGCGGACCGTAAAACGTAGCGTGAGTTTTTGCGCTCAAATGACGAGCTCCACGTCAAATCTTTGATCTTCAGGTATAGGTCAGATATCCAAGACTATTGTGTCCAATTCTCTCGTCAACTGAGGGCAAAATCCGTCCGATGATGAGAGTAGACTCTGGGACAAATTGATAGTATCGACTGTCGAACAATTCATTCGAACTGAGGCGGAAACTTTTCCCGACAAGCCAGACAGCATGGTGGAGATCGTGCCCTTGGTTTTGTGTATAGAGATGTCTAAAAAGATAGGTTGGGGGAAGTCACCCACCAACGATTTCCCCACAAGCTTCCTGTAAATTATTGTAGCCAAGTCATTTTCCTGCTCGTGAAGTCATTTAACACGTCGTAATTTGCATGGTCCATACATTTGTATACCTTTTCTGACATGTTTTGTCGATGATGTGATCTATCATAATGGTATTTTGCCAAATAGGTGTGATACGTATGCTTATATTTCCATCATAATATGCTTGTGTGTCTAATTATTTAACACGGGTAAAATTAAAACTGACGGTTTTTGGTTTTTACACAGAAAGTCCCAGATAAAGTTTTCTTGTATTTTGTAAAAAAAAAATTGTTTATGCCAATAAGTTAAATTTGTTTAAGTCAAGACGGAAGTCATGTCTTCTCCTGTCAAGTCATGTCACTCGAGTGTCATTTTTCCCAGTCAAGATTAAAGTAACAAAAATTGTTAGTCGAGTCCGATTCGGGTCCGGGTCAACAAAACTGTCCTCAGGTAGTGCCGAGTCTGTGCGCCTTCAATTCAGTTAGCGAGAGGTGGTAAATGAATTATAATTCAAAGTTTGGTGACAATTCGCACGGTTTCTAGGCACGTTTATCGGCTTTACACGAAGGTGTCAGACGATGGTATCAGACAAGGCAGGCTGTTGCTTGGTGGCAAAAGCTGTTGCCATGAGGGTACCCAATGGTGAAGGCCGTTGAGTGGTGGCAAACGTCTATTGAAATGCGCTCCCTGTTGCGCATTATAATGCAGGCACCGTTCACGCGCGGCATCCAAACTTGGACCTCGAAACCGATTTTGCAGTTACCCAAAACAGGTAAAGCCAGCATTGATTGAGAGGAGCGGTTTCTGGTTGAAGAACATCTCAAGAGGCTGAATAAACAGTCAGGAATCTTCTGCCACTTTCCTTCTGCCGTATGTTTGACTTTGCATTGGTTTGTGCTCAGAAAGGGCCGAGTTCCCTCTCTATAAGTCAGAGAATATGCATGTCAGACGAGAATGCGGACGGTTGTCCGGGCTCGCGACTCAGGTTGACTAGGGTGTGTGTTTTGGTTTTAACTTGTTTAGCTCTGGGATGACAACGACGATCGAAATAGTGAGTTGCTCGAGCTGTCTCTGGTGTTATTAAGATAGTTGCACGCTAAGGGAACGTCTTGTGGCTGAGTGTCTTTTGAAATGAGCACCTTGAACCATTTGACCTAAAATGTGTGTATACGTAAACTTATGCTGTTAATTATATCCGTGGATATTGGAACCATTTTGTCCTACTGCTTGATTCTTCCATTTGCATTAGCTGTGTCTTGTGACGCAATTTTCACATTTATCAAAATGCTTCACAGAAAGAAAATAGCAGGCGCATTCCACCAAAAAAAAATAACAAGAGCCACGTGTCGACCTTCATGCATAAGTAACTGGTGGCGTAAAATCGCAACGCCGTTACCTTACGATTGACATTCTAGACGGGTGTATGTCTTTCGACAGATTCACGATTCAGTGGTTGTGCGTGCGATGATTATAATTATTGTGCAGCCTATTTGGCCCATGTGGCGGCGCTATTTCCACGCTGTTAGACTGCATTTACACGGTCTGGTGGTTGTCGGGGGCTGATGACTCGCGTGCACGGTATTATTACTTCGCAAGGGAAAAACGTCGCGCCATCATGCTGGCATGCGGTGTCATTTTTATTGAAATGCAAGCGGAGCTGGCGAATGCCCGAAACATTTCACAGTCCTGGCCACGTGTATCTGGAGCACCTGAAGTCATGTCGTTGGAGGAATGGAACAACGTATGAAAACAACTTTGTTTAGGCCTACGCTACGGTGGACCCACTGAGCTGATGAAATCGGTTCCTGGTGTTCTTTCTGTGAATGTCTACAACGGAAGTCTCTCGTCACTTGCATTCAGTACATGTAGTCCAAGTCTCCAATCTAGCTAAAAGCGGCCGTTAACAAAGCTGCCCAGCGGGGCTACTAGTCATGCGCTCTTCAAGTTCAAGGGCACACCTTCATAATAACCCCAGGCGGTGTGTGTGACAGTCCGTGCGTGCTAACTTCCTACCCGTGCGGCTGATCGTTGGTGGGATTGCTACGCCAGCTGGTTTCATTCAGCAGGGTGGTTCGGTGGATGTGGCACATACATGTGTAAAGTGGCATGGCATACGGCTAGGTCCTCGCTCAATCCTCGCGTAAAGATGCAAGCGACAACCTTGTTGGTTTGTCATTCGTCAGATCCGTGCGACTAGACTGTTGAAACCTCGTTTCATCTGGGTCTTGTCCCCCATTCATTTCAACCATAGAGGATCGTCAATCCCTCCAGAGCTCTTGGAGTACATCCTGCGGGCCGATGGGCTCCTCCTGTCGCGGAAGCTGGACGGTCATCTACAAAAACGAAGGAGCTTTCTGAAGGGTTCAAGTGGTGGGTACGTGCCTTGCGTGAGAACCAATGGGCTGTTATGCCCTGTCCGTCGTCACTTTCATTCATCAGTCGAACAGTTTCATTTGCCATGGAGACGACCTGCAACTAGTTTTCGGGTTCGGAATGTACCCGTGCCTTTGCGTCTCTGTACATACAAGAAACCCTTAGACTGGAAGAACGTCGACACCACACTTCTGGCCGTGAATTGGACTGTATAGTGCAACGTTGAACGATTATTTTGCCAGCGGCTAAACAATTGCGTGTCTGATTGATAATTGAGAGAAATCGCTCTGAACAAACACAATCCTATTATCAACTTATGTACAACAGCTGCTCTCATACGAAAGACGACGGTGTAGTTTTCTGCGCGTAAATCGACCGGTACTAGGAAAGCCTGTCCCGTTGCGGGCGAATTCACTGCTAAAGCGAGCGTGTGAAAACCTGCAACTCGCCCATAAATGCAACCGTACATTGTGGAACAATTCATACGGACTCTTGGTGGTCGGCCCAACGTTGCCTCACTATCAGAAATTTGGTGAAGCTCACTGGAGTTTTCTACGTTATCCCTAACTCCACCAGCAGTGTTTATCGCTGACGCCATGGTACAAAGTGCAGTTTAATTGATGAAGTCCCAGGCTCCGTTTTTCATTCCTGGGACCTGGAGCGGTGCTCGAGCTCACGTTGGCTTTTGAACTGCTTGAGGGGTCCAGGAGCACTTTTTTTTTTACCCGAACACAGTGGATCTCGACACCTTTCATCAAACGGCTCACCGGCGACATTTGAAGCGCGCTGAGCCAGATGCTTAGCCAATTTGCCTGGTGATCTACAGACAGCAGAGAGTATCACCCTGACCCACAGAAGGATATACATGGGACACATTCGTAACAGATGGAATTTTGTTTTTAGCACCGACCAAGGCAGATCGGTTCCGGAGTCACCGTGTCTTCTAAAAAGTGTCCCGACCTCATTGATTTTTTGGGAGGGCACTTATAGAGAACACAGAGCGCCCGCCGTAAAACTACTCTCTGTACCCCATCCAGGGAACCATTAAGCCAGAGAAGCGGAAGGAAGATGTGCTTTAAACATGGAATTACTATTTGTGAGTATTCCCTTAAGACAAACGGTGGTGTTATTGCTGAAAGGGAAAGTAGAACGGTCTATGTTATTCCAACCGTTTGGCTCTTTAATTCCATGGGCACTTCAAGGACATTTCCTTTTTCTGAAGACCAACCAGGAAATAATTTTTTTGCGGAGATTGAATTCATGCTCAGTGCTATTGTTCGTGTTTTAGAAAACCCCCAGTTTTGTTTCATGGTTTATATGCAGGGTGTATAGTTTTGATAGAAGCGAAGATATCGAGGTGTGCATAGTCCCTTTGGATATGAACGTATATGTGTAGCAATATACATATATTATCTGCAGGATTCTATAATTATGCCTAATCCCCTACTGGGCCAAACCTGTTGGAAACCAGTGATGTGTAAAGAACTATATAATTTATAGCAGGCTGCGACGTGTCTGCGACTGTGGTTTGTTTGGTGTGTCTGTACATGCACTTTGATGTCTCAACTGAATCAAAAAGATTAACAGAGGTGCTTTCCGAAACCACGCCTCACCTCGACTTTTTAATCATAATCTACAGTATTCTTCGTTCATGATTGAATCAAGTGACCGAACATTGACCAATGATACCGTGGACCCCCCCACCCCCGAAACAGTACACGGTTGCATGTTAAACACTGTGTTATGGACCGATAACAGTTTTTGGTGGATTTCCTGTATGAAAGAGCATTGGGTGGCTGGGGGTGCCATGCATATCTGCACGGCGAAAAATGAAGCCAAAAATCTGATACAAACAGAAAGGCCAACATTGTGGCCTTTCTCATTGCTCCTCCTTCCAAAAGCTTCTAAAAAGCCCCCAAATGTAGCCTCACCCCTCAAAAAGGACCGGAGAGATACGTGAGAAAATTTCCAAATCCCTCCACTCAAAAAAAAAACAACAACAACAAAAAACCAGTGTGTCCTACCTCCGAAAAATTAGTTCTGGATCTGCCCTTGTTCCAACATTGTCGAGAATTTGATCAGAATACAGAAAAACGTGCATAAGAATATTACCGCTAGGTGGGAAACATTCGCCAATCGTCGCCGTTACGCATGACGGTTTGATTCTTCGCACCCTCCCCCCCCAACATAACATGTACGCGATCCATCCATCTAATCAAAATTAATTTCCAGTCCAGTAATTTGTTCCTCAGCAATGATTGATTTGGGCCAAACTGGCGACTAATCTGTCGAACAAAACGAAAATGACAGTCGACACGCTGAGTCTCCTTTATTGGCCTTTAAAAAAATAATAAATAGCTTCGTTGGCGTCTGATAAGTCTGACAAAATGAAGTGGGGGATCCGCTGCCGCGTCAGACTATTCTTCTCGAAATCTCATTCGGACAAGAATAGGTCTCACCTCTTACAGCCAAATCCCTTGCTGATGAAATGGCGCAAGAGGTGGAGGCATGATATTGTTGACAACATAAACTGAATGATGAACGACTCCTACTAGATCCACAGCGTGGTTGTTTTCATGATGTGAAATCTTGAAATGTTGATCCATTAAGTTTCTCAGTTAATAATAGGAACTCTGTGCATTACATAAGTTCAGGAAGAGGCAATAAAATTGGAGGACAACGGCAGGCGTTTTAGGTATCTCATCCGAACATGCATCTTACGGCCAGCATCCTGAAACACATAATGCAGAGAAGGAAAACAGCCTTAAGTAAAGTGCAATTTGTGGCAAGAAACAAATGCTGCCTTGCACTGTGCGCACCGATTAATTTCAGACGTGGACGGTTTTATTCGTGGCTATTTCAAGATTTGTGTGAGTAAACTTGTTCACCTTCCGCTTTACAGGATAACCAAGACGTGGTTCTTCGGTTTCGAGAGGGACAGTGCTGATGACACTAGCTGAAGGAAACTTCCAACGCTGCTGGGGTTCTTTCACGAGGGATGCCGGACATCTTTCTGTCCTAATCGGCTTGAACTTTCTTTCTTTTTCTTGGAGGATTTCAGACAAGACAGGAATCACATTTCGCCGCTTGTTTTTCGATGATGAGCAAAATGGCCGAAAATCGCCAGGATTCGCAAAACCACCTGTATGACCGCCCGTACAATATTCGAGTTCAGCTCAAGGATTGTGTATTTGCAGAAGGATAGTTCTTCAGATATGATCTTCTAGTATAGGCGGATTTCAGTGGCGGTGGGAGTACTTTTATTGGATGGATGGATGGATGGATGGGACTTAGTAATTTTCCTCGTAATAGCACTGCTCAAGGGAATTGAATTTGTTGATGTCTTTTGTTCCCAGGGACACCGTGTCCCTGTAAAGGAAGTTATTAAGTCAACGTGCGCACGGATGACAAATGAAAATAGCACCCCGGGAATTACCTCTAATGGCGGTTGGATCGATATTGAGGGCGTGGCCCTCACCCTGAGGTCAGGCGTCACACGGTGCTAGGATACAAAGTTCATCTCTCGTTTGCGGAGCCAGTTGTGTGCAAGGGAATGGGTACTTCTGATCGTCAATGGTGGAAGAGGCAAGACTGACTGTGTGAAATTTATTACTCAATAGAGAGCAAGTAAACAGGGGGTGTTTGCGTTTTCACTCGCAGTATACGTACGTGTGCCGGCTGTTTTTTTTTCGTTTTTTGTGTTTTTTTTTTTTGCAGGCAAGCCTGGCGGCGCGTTTCGCGCCTCGTCTCAAAGAGCAACTGATCGGCGGAATCAGCAGAAACGTGACACATATCCGCAGATGCATTTGCATGGTCGTAACGCTTGATGTTGCAGAGGATTGAATTTGACATTTTACCGATGCGGTTTTAAAATGCAGATGCCCGCAAGGCCGGTTTATCTCATTGAGGAAAGGGATGACCGTTTCTTGCACGTTGGATTAGTGTAAGCTCCGTTTGATTTGTGGCGAATGAATTCGAATGCGCCTTCAGAAGTCAGATGCGGCTACAGGACGGCTTAAGCAAGGTTTATGTTACCACGTTTTCAGGGAACTATTTTACATCTGATATGAGGACATCTTTGCGAATTCAAGATAAGGCTCTTTTGATCGTTGGACCTCGTCTTTGTTAATTACTGAAAATTCCTGCACACTTCTTGTCAGCCTTGTTAAGGGTCGGCAGTTTTGTGTCCAATCGCTGGTGGATATCCCACCATGGGCAACCAGGTTTATGTCACCGCCGGCTTGGCTGCAGAGATCCCCATTGCTGTGGCTGCAGCGCTGGGCAATGCACTGGTGTGCTGGGCTGTGTACTATAACAGGCGTCTTCGGAACGTTACCAACTACTTCATTGTGTCCCTCGCGATTGCAGACCTTCTGGTGGGCCTGTTAGCGATTCCCTTTGCGCTGTTGACCAACGCAGGTGAACCCCGCAACAGTTTCCACCTGTGCCTCTTCATGAATTCCTTTGTGGTGACGCTGACGCAGAGCTCCATCCTAAGCCTCCTCGCCATCGCTCTGGACCGGTACTTTGCCGTGGTGTCCCCGCTGAGGTACAAGCGCGTGGCCACTGCCCGACGGGCCACGGTGGTCATTCTCTTCACCTGGCTGCTGGCGTTCGTCATCGGCATGATACCGGTGTTCGGCTGGAACCTCGGCCAGCCGGAGCGGGAGGACTACAAGTGCGTCTTCACCGAGGTCATCGACATTAGGTACATGGTGTATTTCAACTTTCTGGGCTGCGTGCTGCCGCCTCTGTTGATCATGCTTTTCGTCTACGTCCGGATTTTCCGCGTGGTGAGGAAACAGTTGGCCGCCATTTCACGGACCATGGTGGCGAGTAACGATGAGATGAATCGCCAACTTTCAGCACTGGCCGTGAAAGAGGGACGGGCAGCCAAGCTACTCGCCATCGTTATCATCCTGTTTGCCGTCTCTTGGTTACCGCTTCACATCATCAATACTATTAGTCTTTATACAAAAGTAGAGTACACCATCCTCCTCATAGCAATTATTCTCTCTCATTCCAACTCTGCCATGAACCCCATAGTCTACACCTTCAGTAACCGCGAATTCAGGCGCACTTTCTACCGACTCATATTCAAGGTCATCCTACGAGGCGTCGTTACAATCAAGAGATGCGAACCGGACAACCGTATGGACGAATTCACGGGAGGCTACACCAGCGCGACTCAGTTTCACCAAGTCCGCAATGGCGTTAGTTCAAGAGACACGCCCAGGGGCACACCCCTCCCACTCAAGAAATTGGACGCTAAGGACCCCAAAGGAGCCGATCACTGTCTCTGATTGACGCTGACTGCGCCAGTACCATTTTGGGGTGTTATGTCAATGTGTTGCTGTTTTACAAGAATGTTTTAACTTCCATTCATGTCATGGGTTGTGAATGATGATTGGAAAGAAGCACGTGGTTCTCATTTGGGCGATGCAAAAGAAAAATCACTGTTAAGCATAAATTGTGGTTTCCAAATGGGTTAAATACACACGTTGTGGTATTTTTATGGTATCATTTCTTCGACTCGAAACTTTGGCCAGAATGCACTTTTACTTGCGGGTGAAAGTATTAAAGTTTCATTCTGGCTGTGAAGAAAATTCATTCGAAAACGATAATCACAAAGTGCTGGGAGTTACAGTGCATTTAATAATGAAGGATCGACAAAGTTTCGGCTGACGGGTTTTCTGCACCTGTGCGCTGGTATTACAGGTTTTTTGACAGACGAAAGTTTTGAAGGAAAATAATTGTCATGTGGAAGTAGATTGTTGAAGAGTTGCCTCCGCGGTTCGTTTCCATACAGGTTTGCAAGCAACAACGTGGACGGGTTATGAAAGGGCACAGGAAATCGTCTTTAAAGAAAATTACTGAGAAATCACAGAGGATGCTACAGCCAAAGTAATAACCTATTTCTCCTATTTGTAATTTTGTTTTGAAATGAGCTCAATTCGGCTACGTAATGTGCCAGACATTTTGCTTCGACCAGCAACGCATTTTGAAACAAACTCTCTGAAATTACTGTGCCAAATTAGTGTACCATTCCAGTAGCATTGTACAGAGAATGAAAGGATTTTAAGAACTTGTCTTATTGCCAAACACGTAGATCAAGGTATTCACCCCATGTACCAGTGATCTGTGATTTGATTTTGAGGTTTATATTGTACTATCGGGCTGTCGAAAAAAATGTGTTACTGCAGACGCATCAAATAAGCAATTTCGTGCCCAACCACCACTGAATCAAAACGAGAGTGAACAGAAGAATATTTTACACGGTTTTCAATTTTTGAGGCTTCCTTCTCCACTCCATGCGTCCTTGAAGTTTGTCTAGCGCAAAGGGTTCGGAGGTTTAAACGTTGTCTCGGTAGCCACACTACTTTGCAGTGTAGTACTTAGAGGCTGAATCTTTTTTTTTCTTTTTTCTCTCAAAAATGCGTTCGTTAAGTGTTGTAATAATACAAGACAATTTCAATAAATTACTTTGCTTCTTTGTCATTCCATCTTTAAGATTTTTCACTGTTCATAAGCATAAATGCTGTTGAGACCTAGTCTACTAAAAAAACACAAGAATTTCTCAGGAAAGTTCAGTGTAGTTGCAGTGCACTAAAATGCTATTTCGGGCCTACGTGTAGAATTTGATCACACTGTACACGAGAAGTTTAAATAAATGCCATTGCTCAATTTTGGACGAGCAAGCCGCAATTCTGCATAGCCGAACTTTGTCAGATTAAGACTCACGCGAACTAAAAGTTGAAACTGTCTTTTCAATCACGGATGACTCGAGGTCATTGAGGAATAGGTGAGAAATTGCGCTCTCGACATTCGCCTTTTTTTTTCCAAAATCGAAGCGCTCGCTGAGTCCAGACACTTTCATCGGCACAAGTGTGTGGCGCATTCAGCAACAAACATGGAAAGCACATAATTCTTGGGAGAAAGGAGTTACTTCCGTAAATGTGTTCTGCCACTGTCAACAATTGATGCGAAATGTAGAGCAAAAGTGTCCTGTTTAAAGCACACCATCCTCTGTGCAATGAATTTATATATGTGTTGCATTAAAGGAGTGCATTCCAAGGTCCGTTTTGTGCCCAAGGTCGACTTGTGTGAGCATCATTCTATTTCTATTTGCCTGAAAAGAGTGTCCGTCCTTGTAACATCCTCTCATATCTTTGAAAGGAACGTCAATTTTATCGCTATATTGCCAAAGATTGTCAGTAGAATTGTCTCGGTTTTTTTTTTGAGGGCTGAGGTCTGGATGCTGTCGCTTGGGTGTTTTAATGCCGGGTTATCATAAGGCTCATATTGCAGCCTTGGCAAGTGTCACACAAAATGCTCTTGGAGATGTGTATGAAATCGGGTCGTCGCTATTGGAAGTTGATGGCTTGCGGCGAGCAGAAAATTTGATGAAGCTATGTTTGCCACCGGAGTGACGGGGTAAATATTATAAGTGAGTAAGGCTAATTAGTCTGTTGGTTCCAAATGCCAGGAAGCTGCTGTTCTCTTGTTCACGACTCTTCCCTTTTGTGAAGTGACCTATATTTCACTCCCGCCTTTTCGTGGCTTCCTAGCCACCCGTGTGTAACACTGAATTTGGGTCGTCCATTTTTAACAACGTTGGGCTTTTTTGGGCTTTACTTTGAACACGCTTTGACTGCTAATTTCCATTACCTAATTCTGGTTGAAATTCAGTATTCATTTTTAAGTGAATAGAAGGAAGAGCCAGAATTTACAGGTTTTACCGAGGGCCCAAGTAGCTCAGAATTGACTCGAAAAAATGAAAACGACAGCCAGATATATAAATTTGATTAACGTTTGTTAAAATTTGTTATGGTTTGGTTTTGAGCGTTATACGGCATCGTGGTAAAGTGAACCTACGATGAACAGATGTCGTAATGCGTTGGCACAGGCTTAAAAACATGACTATTTGGAACATTTACTGTGATGCAGACAATCTCAAACACATGAGGGTGGCCGCGTGCACGTAACAGAGTTAAGGGCTATCGGTTGACAAGGTACCTCCGTTAATCATTTCCCATGATGTTTCACGGTTCGTGCAAACACTCAGGCAAATATATACCACTGTGTCCTCCTTTGTCCTTTTTTCATCCCAGTTATGTTTTCCTTGGTATCATTACGTATGTGAGCCCGAGATACGGGGATCATCGACTGTATTGCCAGACTTTCGCGAGGCGCTATACGGGGAAGAACCTCCAGTAGGCCCCGCGGCGCGCGATAACCAGCGCCTCACCCCGCAAGGGGTTTTACTTGTCGCCAGCGAAGTAAGAAAATTGCGGCCTATCGACGGTATTGCCTCGATCCCAAAGCGGCCGGTGAAGAAGCTGAATGTGTCTGCGCGGAGCTTGATTGATATTATATTCTGGTACGTTGGGCACACATGTAAACACCGTCTGTTGTTGGACTTGATCTGGGACGTTTTCCATAAAGATGAAACTCCTCAGTTTAAGAAAAAAAAAGCTGCCTGATTGATTCACCGCGTAGAAACGAGCTAACCTGAACCCTATTAATTAATTAAAATACTCCCAAAACAGCCATACACTGAAAGGACCTTTAATCCACGCTTCTAATAATGGGATTACATTCACTGTGAAAAGCATTCCCTAGGTATGACAAAGGACTTTTGACGGGAATAACCATTTTACATTAAATTGATAAGGGCGTCTGCCGACACTGCTCATGCGTTTGTTATTAGGTCGAGTTGAGTTGATAAAATCAGCCGCACGCGCTGCAACCGGACGTTTTCGACACGAAAGCCTAAGGGAGCAGCCGGCGTGCGCTCAAAATTTGAGAATTTTCGCCAATCCAGATCGAAAACGGAAACCAAGTCAAAAACAAACATCCGAGCAAAAAAAAAAATCGAATAAGCAAAAACGGTCGAATTTATGCCGTCGTTTCCACCTGTCATTAACATTGCTTTTCACAGTAAGCGTGTAGGCCTAATAATTAACTATCTTACAGGACCGTTGTGACCTGTGTTGGATTTCTTTATAATATATTTCATTGCCGTCCTGGCTGTCAGTCTCAGTTGGGGTAGCTTGTTGCTTGGCAACTGAATTTGGCAAGTGAATTTGTTAAGTAGCTTTGTGACAATTAGACCCGACTCTATGTTCTACGATATGGTCTTAAAAGCCGTTTTAAGAAACTGTGAGACCCTCACGACTCAAGCCAAATTTGCTCTGCTCCCTGAAAACAGGGTTGTTGTTGTTTTGTCTAGCTTTTCACTCGTTTTCTTATACTGATTCAATGTGCAGCTAAATTGTTCCAGTCCTTGGAACCTTTTTCGCGCCACAGTTCTCTTCCACATTTCCCCCCAATTTCTTCCCCCTTGGAAAGTAAATCTGTCAGGCCGTCAAAGTAGAGGTCAGGAAATAGGTGGCCTTAATTTAAAAAAAAAAAGATAAAGCTTTGCTCAGTAAAAGTGCCAAATTAGCAAGACGATTCTAAGAACAAAAATTAATGCATGCGTAAAAAAGCCTACATAAGTTGAAAGCAGCTATGATAATGATACATGCACATCACTCCAGAGTTATTTCTTTCCCCTTGTTTCTGAAGTCCCTGTGGTGGAATAGTATGACAGCATCTGTCCAATCTTCAATAAATCCTTTCTCCATGGTGCCCTTTTCGATACCACATCCGCTAGCTGTCATCATGGAGACAGCGTTTGTGCTGCCGTCGCCGACCGCTGCCTTCATATTAATCAGTGCGTTGAGCAGAACGCAAAGTAACTCGTGTTTACAGAACAGTGCACTGTTAGCCAGGGGGTCGTAATTCTGGTGATAATGAGAAAGCCAAAAAAAACCGCCAAAATCACCAATGTAACTTCCATTTTGCAATTAAGACGTAGAGTTGAAAAGTAAACAACTTTAGTCGGTAGATGGGAAAGTCGTTCGTTTTAGATTCCTGACAGCCAGAATCTATTATTTTAAATTTAAGGTTAGCACCCAGGCCATAGTCGCTGAAGTTAAGGGGGTTACTGCTCAAAAGCACCCCTGCAGGTTTGTAAAAACATACCGGTCTATCGTGTAAACACGATGGCCGAAGACGGCGAACAGTCTATCCAACAATCAAGCTTCACAGGGTCAAACATTTTACTGTTTGTTTTCTTCTTAGATCTCTATTTTCACTTGGATGTCAGCAGTGGTCATTGGTCATTCGTTTTCCGTAATAATTACTCAGATCAGTTAGCATTCAATTGGAAAAAAAATGCAGTTCAGATGCAATTCTTAATACTGATATCTGTTTCAATTATTCTTAGATGTACAAAGGTGATGTAAAACCATCGTAATGATCCGCAAAGTTGATTTAACGTATGACATAATTTAAAAATACGGTAAATCATTTTGCGCATCATTACGATGGTTTTACATCACCTGTGTACATCTAGAAATAATTAAATAGACCTTGGTATTACGATTTGTGTCTGGAGTGCATTTTTTCCTAAATGAAAATACTCAACTTTTTGAGTTGGAAACACCGTGTGAACGCTCCCTTGTTTCTGCATTCCAGTAAGTCTATACAGAACCAAAGTAGGATTACGGGTCTGTATTGGTGGATATTTTTAAGTAATGCTGAGGTTTGGGTTGGGGCGTTTCTCAATAATGTTGAAGTGGAAATGGTGCTGGTTGATTTGATGGGCGAAATGCTCCATGATTGGCTGATGTATTGCTTACAAATTACCGAGTGATTACCGTTTCTGTCTTTGCTCAAGGGTGGATCAAGATTGGGGGGGGGACTTCTCGGGGGCAAAAAATTGATTTTGTTTTTCATGTAAACTTTTATGGTCTTTGGGGGGAGGCTACATTTTGGTGCTTTCTACACATTTTTCAAAGGAAAGGAGATGAAATAAACCAAAATAATTGCCCCTCTCTGATTACTCTTAGTCTTTGAAGAAAAAAAAGGCCCTCATGAGGAGATGGCCTCTGTTGCCTCCCTGCGTCCGCCCTTGTCTTTGCTTTTACAGTGTCAAAGGTAATACCGTAGCTCGAATTTTAAGGCAGGGATGAGTCAGTTACATCGCAATTAGGACGTCTCTCTGTGTATATGAGACAGACAGAAAGGGAAGTAATTAAACCTGGCAGGTGCTGTTGGTGTGCCGTGGATGCTGGATGTACTTGTGACCCATTAATTTCGCTGTGTATAGAACAGACAAGACGAACGCGGAATCAAAATTAATACAGTAGGCCCTGCATAAATACCTATCATCCGATCCGTGGATCTTCGATCACATGTCATTGATTGAAATATTTGTTCCATTCGACGAAGCTCGTTGAATAGCACGTCACTTCACTTGACTGGTTCCGGCCTCTCCCATTTCATATATATCTCATGTCCAGTAAGGAAAAGGAGAACAATGTAGGCACGGAAACCAGTCAAACATTGTACGTTACTACCAGTGGATGGCGATCGAACATGAATCTGTCTGGCAAAATAGCAGACGTTAACACGTGAGTGGGACCTGTTCGTTTTCTAAAGGACGAGGATTTATGCAGGTATTGTAAATAAATAATGAATGTCTCACACTCGTTAAGTGATAAACATAATTTATTCAGTGTCTGAAGAAATGTTCAATTCAAATGGAATATATCATCTGTCACCTCATGAAATTAATCTTACCATTGCACTCCTAAACATTCATTGTTTGTATTATGTGTTTGGAAAGCGCTCATCAGTGTTAAGCGCGGCACTAACGCGTAGATCGACTACAGACTAGTGGAATTCCAGCTACGAACAAAATTGGAAGGTCTTATTAAACTGTGACGTAAAATAATGCACATGCCTTCTTTTACCGATCTGATGCACGTTCTGACCATCCGAGGATATTCATTGAACCCTTGACCATCCGAGGACTATCCCAGCTGTAGATTTGTTTTAACTACCTGCCATTGTATAGGCTGTAATGTATTTACTCTTGCAGCGTGTGGCCGGCTCTCTTTCTTCCACCCATTTGATGCACGATCTAGCCCTCAGAGGACATTCATTCCACCCTTGACTATCCCAGCTATAGATGTTAAACCTCTGTAAGCTGCAAAGTATTTAATTCTTAGCTGCTTGTCGCCCTCTTTTAAGCTTAT